TGGTATCTAGGTTGATCTCCTTTTTAAAGATGCATTATTCTAGGAAACTCAAACTGTACATTTACTATATTATTGATAAAAATGTGTTTATAAAAGTATGTTTCTAAAAATAACTACCTTTCTTAGATTATGCAAGTGACAATCACAAACAGTTTGCCCTTTTGTGTTGTAACAAGTAGATGCAGCAAATGCCTGTGATGGAATGTTATTTAATCAAATGTTTATTTTATACTTTATTTACAAATCTTGCTTGCCTGACTTGAATTAATAATTTTAATACAGGGGAATGACATCTTGTGATGCATATTGTTTAAAAATGAGAGCCCATATAAGCATAGGGAATTGGTAGAATTCTTTAACATATTAGTATGTTTACATATGTGTTCTCTGGAGAGCTTCAAAGACCTGATGACTTCTGGTCTACTGTGTTAGGAGTCCATTTACTTTCCATCTCTCATTGTTCCCTTTCACAACCTAATAAGAAAAAATTGTGGTGCAAATAAAAAAAGATCTCAACAATGAGCTCTGTTGTGGTTGTAATGCTCACATGAAAGGAGGCTGTCTAGAAAGTGAATGGAGCAGCCACTGGTAGGCTGTAGCAGGGAAATAAATGGTTTGGCACTGGACAGTGACAACCAGCAGGGTGCACACGCCTAGCATAGGAACAAATGATGGTTAATCTACCCATTTGAAGATCTAATTGAGAGGACATTGTTTAACTCTTTAGCCGTAACTAAACTGAAACTTGAAAAGGGTTCATACACATCTGGCTGCTCTCCGGCTTCAAAGGCTTAATAGCTAAATAGTGGATCTAAGGCTCAGACAGAAGACTGTGATTTGATAATCTGCTCATGAGCACGATGCATTTGCCATTTTATACAGATTAAATGAGTAAATGCATTGCAGGACTGTTATCATAAATTGGTGCTAAGTTTTAGTATTCATTAGCCTCACCAGATCAGATTCCTCTGTATTCCAGTATTGCAGCACAGTAATTGAGCTGTGTACCTATATGTTACATTCCTGCTGTTGCATTGATTAACAATGTTCCATAACTAATATGAAACATCTTAATCCTGGTCTTCCTAAACTTTCTCATGAGAGGAACACATCTAAGTGTTTGTCTTTGCTTAGAACCCATGTACCTGTGCTATCCCATGATCCGGAAAGCTTCAATTTATCTGTATCTTGTGAGGTTTTGTATTTGTATACTTTCTTCTGACAGACTCAGTGCGCAATCACAACTCATCACTTACCATTTGGAACTTGTTGCTATAGAGCTTCTTAAAGAAAAGTTTAGAAGGCATCTGCTCTGGGGAGGGGGAATGAAAGAATATCCTACCTTGCGGAGGCTGAGGTACCTTTTGAGTTTATGACAACATATTTGTGTATTAACGGTTTACTGTTGTTATAGTTATTATTATTAAGTCTCTTTCTCACTGGGACCCATGGCAGATTATAATATTATAAAAACTTTCAGTTGATCAGGACTTGCTAGAGAGGACACAAATATTATGGAGTTGACTCAGTCAGTCCCTTATATGCCTTTAGACATGTGCATCTGTTATGGGAGACCTGCAAAAAGAGACTGGAGTCAGTCGGTGGCTGGAAGCTCCGGTGTGCAGAACAGGACATGGAGGAAAGCCATGGGGAGGATGCTAGGTGTTACTGGATATTATACTTTTCAAAATCCAATAATTAAAGCAGAAACCTAATAATCTGAGGGAGAAAATTAAATCAAAAGGCCACTCCAACTGAGACACCCTGTGACTGAAGTATTAAGCATGTTAGATTTTCTTTGAGCATATCCAAATGAGAATTTTGCTGACCCAAACAGAGAGAGAGAGAGAGAGAGAGAGAGAGAGAGTTCTCGTCCGAATTGGGTTCCTGCAATACTTCTGAGTTGAATTCCTGCAATGAATTTGCAGCTACTGTCTGCCTAAAAGTCCCTGTGACAATCACGTGCACATGATGTCCAGTTTGGGCCTAACAAACATTGATCTGTGAAAGCAGACTAATAAAAATGTTTGTTACCTAGCAACTGGACTTGTAATGCACTTTCAATCTCCTTTCAGTTCACTTTGCAACTGGATTTTATTGTGTGAAATGGCAAAATCCACTTGCAAATGATCAGTAAAATGTATTGAAAGTGATTTGAAAATGCATTATTCAACATGTGTGAAAGTGCCCAAGGAAGAGCTCTTGAGGATGCCAGTTGCCATAGAAAGCTGGACAAGGAACTGCAGCTGTGTTGTGCAGCCATAAATGGAAAGACTCCTTCACTGAGGGGAAAGAGAAGGGACACTTTCTGACAAGTTTATCTCTTTGAAGGAAGGCTTAGCTATGAATGGAATGGAATAGAAAACAAAATGTATGATGCACACAGAAAACCAACCACATGGCTTGTTTTCACAGGTAGGGTCTTGGTAGCATGAGGTGGGAACCCTGAGGAATTGTGTCTGGGCCCATAGGGATGATTTAAACTGGAGCAAGAGCTTGAAAATGTGCACAAGAAATGAAATTTTATCTTATAAAACTACATTAGGCAGTAAGAGTCTAAATATTCCAGTCATTACCCTCCAAAGGCCTACTGGAATGTTGCATTTGAGACGTGAAAGTGCAGCAGAGCAGATTATTTAGGTTTAAGAATAAAATGGCCACAAAAATTGTATGAAAACAGTTAATTGATAACTTTGTATCCAAAATCAGAAAATACTGTTATTTCAGTCAGAGCAGTTAAATTTTGAATTTCCCTATAATAGTTGTACTAATATCTCATCCAGTTAAAAATAGAAATGGGTAAACAAAGCAGCATCCCAAAAAATCTAGTTTATGAAAAAAGAATTATTCTAGAATGTTTCATTCCCCTCTTTTTTGTGGGGGTGGGGAGGAATGCAGAGACATTAAAGGCAGCTACAGTTGAAATGGGAGTAATGAAGCTCTGCATTGTGCATAGTTTCCACCTGAGTGGAAACATAAACTCATGTTTCCCCAGTTGAAAAGTTTGATCCAGGAGTTGGGAACTAAGCATGCTGCTGGCTCTAGCATTAGTATTATCAGTGACATGACTTCTCTCTTCAAAGGCAGGCTTGAATCCTGCCTTCTGCTCCCCCAGTCTTCTGCAGCTTAGATCAGACTTTTCAGTTGAAAATAATGTGTGCACAGCACCTACCTTGGTATGAACCTAAAAAGAGCCCTGCTGGATCAGATCAGTGATCCATCTAGTCCAGCATCCTGTCTCACACAGTGGCCAACCAGTTCCTCTGGAGAGCCAGTAACAGGGCATAGAGGCCGAGACCTTCCTGATGTGACCTCTTGGCACTGGGATTCAGAGGCTGACTGACTGCCTCTGAATGTGGAGGTTCCCTTCTGTAACCATGGCTAGTAGCCACTGATAGACCTATGCTCCATGGATCTATCTAATTCCCTTTTAAAGCTGTGGCCATTGCTACATCTTCTGGCAGCGAATTCCACATTTTAATCACTGTCTGTGTAAAGAAGTATTTCCTCTTGTCCGTTCTGAATCTACTGCCCATCAGCTTCATTGGATGCCCTTGAGTTCTAGTATTTTGGGAGAGGAAGAAAAAATTCTTTGTCAACTCTCTTCACCCCATGCATAATTTTATAAATCTCTATCACGTCCCTCCTTGGTCATCTCTTTTCTAAACTGAAAAGTCCCAGACTCTTCAGCTTTCCCTCAAAGGGAGTTCCAACCCCCTAATCATCTTGGTTGCCCTCCTCTGTGCTTTTTCCAGCTCTGCAATGTCTCTTTTGAGATATGGTGACCAGAATTAGACACAGTATTCCAAATGAGACCACACCATAGATCTACACAGGGGCATTAGAATATTAGCTGCCTTATGTTCAGTCCCTTTCAGTCCCTTTTTCACTGCTGCAGCAGTGAGTTGTCTCCTGTTGGACGATCTCTGAGCTTTTGAATCCAAGGCTTGGTTACCATATCCAGAAGAATGAAGGGTGGATAAAAGTGGTAGAATGTACCGCTTCAGGCTTGCAGGTGATAGATTCCAGCTTTGAATGTTCCTCTGCCTAAAGTTTCTTGCCAAACCACCACCACAACAAAACAGCCTAGCACAGCCAAAAGAAAGGTTCTAGCATCTTTCTTTGCTTCCTGTGCTGATTTTCCGAGGGCAGGGATTTATTTTAAACAAGGGGAGATTTCAAAAGGTGATCTTCCACTTGCAGCTGATTCTCCTACCTCCTATTCCTGTGTTTGTGAAATAGGTCTGAGTGTGGATCAGACTAACATTAAACCATGATTTCTGTGGTACAAATAACAAGTTTGGAAGCCATGCAAAAGAACCAAGAAAGAATTCATAAATGACTCCTGTTCATGTGAAATTAGGATCATAGCTCCCCTGTGAGCTGGGTGAGATGTGGTGCACCTCAGCACAGGAGAGAAGCATGAGATGTTGTTTTAGATGTTACAGTGAAAGTACAGAAAGAATATGCATGTCACTCATAATTTTTCTCTTAGCCTTTGCTCTCTTGAAGCTTCTTCACAATTTTGACTAATACCGTAGATCTAGATCAAACTGAAAAATAAAATGTATTTATTTCTTATTTACAAAATGTATATCCTACCTTTCTGCCCTTACAAACTGTCAGGGGAGGACTGACTGGCCTGTTACAGCGGATAAAGGTTTGATTAAGGCAAGTGCTTGTAGTGGCATCAGCTGAACAATTTGATCCTTATAAATACTTATTTCAGGCAGGCAAATCTCACGGTAGTAAGGTAGTTGGATGAACTCTAATTTTATATTGTTTCTGTACTAACCACATTTTGTTGAACTATTCCTCTGTGGTGAATCCAAATGGGATTGGGGGGAAAGTTTAATCCAACATTAGATATATTTAAAATGCAGGCTCCCTTGGTCTAATGATGGGATGGAAGGGTATAAGTAATGGGTCTCGTCATGTGGATCAAAAATGGCAAAAAACAGACAAAAGGTAAACTACTATGTAAAGTTTATGTACAAGAATATAAGGTTTATCTGGAAATATTTACAAGATTTGTTTAAAGTAATATTTTACAACTCTTTCAGAATAACTACTAATTATATTACAGGCTGGAAAAAAAGTTTACTTTGGGAAGGCAAAAGCACCAGAAAAACACAAAACCTCCCCTGAAATGTGCTTTCAGTCAGTTTACAATTCTTGTTATTGATCGGTTTGTATAAAATACTGTGTAAAAAACTGTTAATATACTTTTATTGGTGAAGTTTCTTCATAAGTAGCACATGCAACAGTGGATTTTTCTATAGTGTAATAGAAATAGATGGCATATCACTCCAAACGAGACAAAATTAGGCCTAATATTCAAGGCCAAATTAAGCCATAATGGCCACACTTCAACAGAAACCTGAAGCCCAGTTGAAATTAATAGACTGAAGCATGCTCAGCTCTGCATGGGATTGTGACCAATAATCAGGCAAGAGTCCAAGTTTCAAGCTCTCTCTTTTCCCACAGCCCTGATTTGATGTGGAAAAATCACCACTAAGCAACTTTTCCCATCATGTCCACTCAGCAACCCTTACTGGTGATGATATTGTGGAGGTACTACTTCCCCAAAACGACAGGGTCACATCTCTTCGTGGTGGCTTTGTACCAAAAAACTGAACCTAACACTCACACCTTATTCTCAACACACTCATTCTTAATATAACCTATACAGAAATGTAGTGATATAGAATGTATTGCGGGACAGTTCGAAACAAAAAACCAAAATGACAGATTTCCCCCCCCTAAGTTTCAGGTCACGTTCTGAACCAATGCAAAGAACTAGCTCTAAGCAAGATATTTTAATACTTCACAAAAATAGTCATGATTTTTTTTAATTATAGTTTTACTATATGTACAAAACTGACCTCCCTTTCGTTTTTTAAAATGGGTCTTCCTCTCCCATGCCCGCTGTGCATTGTTGCTGAAGAAAGAGGAAGGTGCAAGGGATTAAGGAGTGCGCTAGGGACTGAAGGCAGCAAGGCCGGAAGTGACTAGCACTGCAACTTGCGGATGCTGCGTGAGAATCTCTTGAATGCCCTCTGGCCTTTCTGCCACCGCTTTACTGAGGTGATCACCAGCTCTCCTGCCAGCCTCTGTCCCATCACTAAATAGGGTGCATTTATATCATTCATCTCATCACAGGTACACTGAAGGCCACCTTTGAGCCACAGCACAGTCTTTTTCAGATCCCTTTCTGTCACACCGTTCAGCTTGTAGATGGTTTTGCTCTTTGTTTCCGGAGTGATCTTGGTGTCCCCATTGATGTAGGCGATCTCCTTCACTTTTATCTTCAAGGCTAATCAGGATAACGGCCAAGGGAGAGAGAGGAATGGGGTTGAGAGAAAGCAAGAGAGTGAGAGAGAGAGAGAGGTTTTCCCATTAGTGCACATAAAGAGGACCTGGGGAGGGAAGTCTTCTATTGCTAATTAAACTGTCAGGGGCTGACAGGATGGACAGCAGGTGGCTCCATTTCTAAAGCCACAAAGGGCATGCAAGTCATTTCAGTCTGAATCAACCTTTGGGTGTGTGTGTGTGTGTGTGTGTTTTAAAAAAAAAAAAATATTTTCTAAACGGATCTTGCAAACACAGAAAAGCACCCACTTTGTACATTAATTATGCATTAGAGTTTAACTTAGCATGATGTTTTCGTATTGACGTTGCAGTGGGAAAGGGAGAGGTCTACAGTTTCATAGGAAATTTGATCTCTGCAGTTGATGAAAACTTTGTAGACTGAATTTACAGGATCAGAAAGAGTCTTAGGTGAACCTGTAAGAAGGAATCAATGTTGCTTGTGTATTGTAAACAAAAGAATTCACCAAAAAGGACAATTCATTTAACAGCTGCATTCGATTTTGGAAAACAACTAGAAGGACAACAAGCACAAGGCTCTCTTAGAAGCTTGAAAAAACTCTTAGCCCCTAAAGAAAAAAATCTGAATAGCTCATGTTGGATGTGTCAGATGAAATCTTAGTCTAGTAACGGGCAATAGTAACCTGTTGTCAATTTGAGACTGGTTTACTACAAAACAATCTCTTTAAATTCCACTGCAAATGTTTTTATAGAGATAAATCGATAATATTGTAGCACATGTTTACTATTATCTTTTTCTCTCTGCCTGCCAACGATTTTCTCACATTTAATCAGCTGTGCTCAAACAAGTTTTCCAGTCACTTGCAAGCCAAAGATGGCCAGGTTTTGCAACAATTTGCCAGCCAGCTCACATCTGTAATGAGGTTCACAACCTGTTTAATTCTGCGGCTGTTATGCAATCATTTCATTTCTGGAATCTCTGATTCTTCAAGAGAAACTCTGAACAACAGATTTTGTTTTGGGAACATGAAGGATTTAGCAGTGAGGGTTGTGTGGCCTCTGGTATGAATGGACATTAAGAGATGAGAAGTGATAGATAAAGCAGCATGCCCCTCACATCTTCTGAGTTTCCCAATCCTTCCCACCACGTCAACTCAGGCATTTGAGAGGAGAAATCCCTGCCTCACTTGGTTCCCAGCAGGATTCAGTAGTGCAGTATTCTCTTCCTCCCCCAATGGGAAGGTGGGAACTGGAGAGGAGAAAAGCCGTGCTGTCGGATCCACAGCAGGATAGGAGCTCAGGCGCCCCTTTCTTAGTCCCCCTCCCCCAGCTCTGTAGGAACAGACAAGGGGGAAACAGTATGGAGTCCAGCTCCACAGCCCAGGCTTGCATTTGAGCTTTCTTTTGTATGCTTCACTAACCCACATACCAGCATACTGGGGCACACAAACATCTGTCAGAAGACTGGAAGTAGAAGTCATCGCAACATTTATACTGGCTGTTGCTTCAAACACTTGCAATGGAGAATGGGGTTAACAAGTCTGGAATTATTTTTTTTTAACTTCTAAGAGCTCTCTAGTGCTTTTTGCACAAGTTGTCTAACTTTCGTACCACAAATATACCCTGTGGCCTCCCAGTTTTATTATTAAATACAGAAATCGATATGCACAAAGAAAGGTGTAGAGGCATACAGAAAGGGCTGTCTCTCCCTACATGTGCTAGCTGGCCAGTTCAGATGCCCTCTGTTAAGATGTGCTCTTTTGTCCCTATGGACAAATGTGCCCTGGAACAGCTTGACAAAGGAACAGTTTGCCACACTACTTTCTACCTTCTTGTTTCTCAAAGGGCTTACAAGAAAGTGTTGTTGGGGGTGGGTGGGATTTGAACCCAACAGCGAAGACACTGGGGGCTAGCTACATTGGCAGTTTTTTCTTTGATGATACCATGGGTTTTATTTAAACTGTTTGCTAGCTGCTTTAAACTTTGGAGAAGTGGGTTAAATTTTCTTCAAATAAATAAGCAGTTTTCAGTGGCTCCTATCAAAGATACATAACTGAAAGATGAGGAAACTGGCTGTCTGCTCCAGATACTAGTGCCAGTAGGGGCAGTTTTAGCTATCTGTTTAGGGCACCTTACTTTCTTCCATAGTGATTTCCAGTCACCCCTATGTGGGAAAGTGAGACGCAGGATACCTGTGAAATAGTACTGTGGTGGGGAAAAAAAAATCTGTCCACTGTTCTCACTCAGAGTAGTCTAGATCTCCACCAAGAGGCGATTTATTCCACTATGGGGTGGGGAAATAGGAGGTGCCTCCTTCAAACAGTTCTCAAAGTATACAGACACTGCCACCTCTCATAATAGCAGGTACTTTACTACGAACCAGAGAGTGGCTATCACATTGGTTAAAAAAAAAAAGATGTTATGCACCTAGAAATCTTATTACATTGCCAACAGAGCTAAGGCAAATAACCACACTGATTTTTTATCCTAATAAACTGGGATTGTGTTCATGTTGAACAACTGCTTATATAAAAAGTTTAATCCACTCGATTTGATAGTTCAGCAAGACTGCAAAACCTGCCCTTTTTAAACATAGAAACTTGCTTCCACTTACCAAAGTCATTTTTGCAAAGGTTTTCCACAATTTCATTGTCATCCTCATTCTTGCTTTTGCAGGCATCACAGACTTTGGGTGCTAGAAATACAAATATTTAAAACAGAACCCATATTCATAAGACAACAGTAGATGGCGTTTGGAAGCAAAGTATGCTTCCTTTAGACATGGTCACTAAATTCTGCCTCCCCCTCATATATTCTGCCACTTTTAATGTTGCTAATGTCTTTTTGAAAACTGCCTACATGGGTTTTTATTGAACTAATTCAAAGAAAGAAGTCATGAAATATAAAAAAGTCATCAGTGTCTTCAGGACAACCTGCAGGACAGTCTAAAGAAGATTTTGAGTTTGGGATGGTTTGTTCTTAGTGGAAAAAAACACCTGAACTGAAAACTACATAGCCATGTTTGGCGCATATCGAAAATGACTGAAATGGGATTTGATGGGATTCTGAAAAAGGGGATATGTGAATTCTCAGGAAAAGAGATTAAAATAGCTGCCACTCCCCTCCCTAACTCTCTTTGCATGAACAGAAATCAATGCCTTGATGGGAGGGGAAGTAGAGAGGAGGGGGAAGAGTCAGGCAATATAATGTACAAGCTTTTTCTGATGAGGTTGCATCAGAAAAACTGCTCTCTCTTCTCCTATTCCTTGTATTAAAAAACTTGGGAAAATCTCACCTCTTTCTCTCTTTTTCCTGTGGCTAATTAAAACCATCTTCCCAAGTAGTAAACTAGTAAAGCTGGAGGCAATTTGGGTTGTTTTTTTTTTTAAATGACAATTCATGGATTTGACACATTTTGCATTTGTTCATCTAGCAACAAATTATTCTGGACTTCAAAGACTTGTTTCACTCCTCCTTATCAATGAGAGAAACAAGTTCTTGCTGGTCTTATGCCAGTCACTTTTATAAACACTCTGACAATGGTCAAAACCATACTAACAAGTTTAAATGGGAAATGAGCTCCTCTAAGTGCTGCCATGCCACCAGAGAAGCAAATAGTTGTAGGAGAGAGAACTCCGCAGTACATGATAAGCACCAAGAATCAGTCCTTAGGGAAAAACGACTGTGACTCAAGACACACTATTTAGGATTGTCTGACTTATTCTGCAATCCTAAACACACCAACTAGGGAATTCAAGGGACTTTTCTAAGTAAATTTGCTTAGAACTGGGCTTTACAGATGCAAGCTTAAGAACATATCCTAGGAAATTATTATTATTCAGTTTGGACTTCATTTTGAGCAAACATGTTTAGAACTGGGATGGACTGTTAGTCCAGCAGAACCGCAGTGTTCTGAACATGGGATAGCCACAGTGTCATTCTCTAGAGCTGTGATATTTTGAAGACATGGGAAATGTTAGGTTCTGTATTGATTTCAAAGAAGAGGCATCTATTATATGCTACTATTTGGAAGGACTCTTCTCACTGAAAATTATTACAGGTCTCAAGTCAGGGATAGTGGTGGCTAACTCTAACTGCCACTCCTACCATACTTCTTATGTACTATTAAATTTAACAGGGTTTCTTTCCCCATATATTTACTTGGGCTGCAATTCTTTGTACCTATACCTGTAAAGAAGCACAGTTAAAACCCAGTGATTTATGACTGAGTACATGTGCTCAAATTCTGGCTGCATATACATGCCCCCCCCCAACTCAGCGGGACGGACTTCTGAGTAAACATATACAGGATCCGAGCTGCACATAAGGGGCCGCAATCCCATGCAGAACTGCGCATAGTCGTGCGCTGTGACCCGCGTCTTCCAAACGGCGCAGACAACAAAGCAGAGCTCCCTTACCTTCCCTGGGAGTGGGGAGGATGTGCTCGCTGCTAGCCGGGGGGATGCACAGATCATTGTCCTGGGGGAAGCGGCTGCAGTCCAGCATGTCTGGCCAGGGGAAGCCGAAGGCGGACATGACCGGAGCGCAGCTGTCTTTCACCTGCTCGCAGAGCGAGTGGCAGGGCTGGATGGTCTCGTCCAGGTCGTCGATGCAGACGGGCGCGAAGAGGGAGCAGAGGAACTTGCGCGTGTCCGGGTGGCACTGCTTCTGCACCAGCGGGATCCAGGCGCCCGCTTGCTCCAGCACTTCCTGCATGGTTTCGTGGCCCAGCAAGTTGGGCAGCCTCATGTTGGGGTACTCGATCCCCCGGCACAGGAGCAAGGAGGCGGGGATGGGCTTGCAGTTGGACCGCTTGTAGGAGAACTCGGGCTGCCCGAAGAGGAAGAGCCCGCGGGTCGAGCCGAGGCATGGCGCGGCCAGGAAGACCAGGCACAGGACAAGGTCGCGTCGGTGCATCTCGGAGAGAAGGGCTGGGGGGCGCTGCAGGCGGCCCGCGGCTCCGAATGGGGCTCCCGAGAGGCGAGGAGGGGGCGGCGAAAGGCGGCTGCGAAGGCAGCGAGGGCTCAAGGCAGAAAGGCGCAGCCTCCCGCAGGCTACATGCAGCTTCCCTCCCGAGCACGCCGGCGGCCTCCCGCTTGCTCGCCACCGATGGCCATACACTGCCCACTCCGCTCTGCACACCAGCGGTGCCTTGCATTTTTTATGCAAATCGAGAGGGGGTTTGGGGAAGGCGAGGGGGCGGGGCCACATGACAAGGAATCGGCAAGGATTGGCCGCTTTGCGCTGGGGGGAGATGCCCCCTGGCCTGGAGGATTGCCTTTTAGGCAAGAACACTGTCAAAGCAACGCTTCAGAACTTGCTTGCGCGTTAAGCTTTTTGCCGGGAAACAGCTTCACGGGGCTGAGCAGTTCATCGTCGAGTCATTACAGAGTGGGGTGCTATAGAGGGCGTTATAGGGCTTTGTGCGTGGGTTTTAAATAACCCGCTTTTGCAGTCAGTCAAACCAGGGCATCACAAACAGAGCGGACTAGGAAGGCAAAACTGCCCAGCATAGAGGGCACGCCCCCTTCGTGGCTGCACACTCCTTGGCCACGCCCCCAAAGAGGAAGGCTTGGCCTATGGGGAGGACTGCTGTGGAGCAGTTGCCCCCTTCCCGCTCTCTGCGTTGCGTGGGGTCGGGCAAGGCGACGAGAATCTGTTTCTGGCAGGGAGCGCTCAGGTTAGGCAGTCCCAAGGTTCCCGGCCAAGGGGATGCACTAAAGACGAATGACCAGAACTTCCACTGGGAATAATTGAAGATGGCTAGAGGCCCATTAAGGAGCTGCGGTGGCTCAAGTGGTTAAGACGCTGAACTGCAGGCTGTGGAAGGTCAGTAGTTCAGCAGTTCAAGACCCGGGTGCCGCATGATGGAGTGAGCTCCCATCTCTAGTTCCAGCTCCTGCCAACCTAGCAGTTCGAAAGCAAGAAATTGCAAGTAGATAAATAGGTACCACTTCAGTGGGAAGGTAACATCATTCCGTGCGCCTTGGAGTTTAGTCATGCCGGCCACATGACCACGGAAACATCTCTGTACAGCGCTGGCTCTTCAGCTTTGAAACGGAGATGAGCACCGCAACCCTAGAGTCAGATTCGACTGGCTTTCGAGCAAGGGAACCTTTACCTTTACCTTTTAGAGGCCCATTGGCTACAATGCGTGCCACGAATGCCAGTTGACTTGCCTGGGCTCCATTGATATAGCGAAAAGACATCCCCCCACGGTGGAATGATGGCCTCTGGGCTGGAATCAGTTTTCTGGGATTGGGATGCCAATATGCAACACACACACACAGTATGGAATGAGGTCCTGGGACAGTATAAACTGCCCTGGGACTGGAATGAAAGCCCCCAGAGTGGAATGACTCAGACTGGAATAAGTACTATGGGCATGACAGTCCCTATATCTGTAATGGATAACCTTGATATGCCCTCAGTCTAAACTGGGTACTAGAAAAAAATAGAATCTGGGTATTTTTTTAAATAGTAAACAAACTTCTTAATTATTTTGATTGCTTAATCCAGTTGTCAAGAGCTGTGAATTCTTAGGGAAAACCACAACTGCAACTTGTACTCAAAGAGAATTGCTATCAAAAGGTGGGCCAGAGACATCTGAGAGCTATTATATAACAGTTAAAACAGATTCCTAAGTGTTAAGTATGCAACTTAACAACAAAGTAAGTAACAAAGTGAATCAGCTTTATTGAGAACGAGAACTTCCAAAGATCACACAGTATCAGAGGACTCGATCAACACAAACAGAACAACAGCGGAGCATAGCTCCTTTTAAACTCTCCGGGGCTGGTGTAGCCACACCCTAACAAGGTTGCGGTCCAATCGTATTACAAAGATAACAACCAATAAACACAGTTCCCCCCAGCACAGTTATCTTACATTTGATTGGTTACTGAACAAGCTTCAGCCAATGGTGTTGTTTCAGATTAGAATCTGGCTGAGGTCTCAAGCTTAACATGGGTTTTGATATAATGAAGACACAATAATAAGATATAGAAATTGTTCCAAACTACTATTTTCCTAAAGCAACCAAACCATGAGTTACTAGACCTGGGCGCAACAACATAACAGAGTGTCTTCACCTTCTACTACATTGAGTTAACACATTGTCAAGCAACATCCACAAGCCCTGTAGTATTGTTGCATCTGTAGGGACTAATATCTATAGGGAGTGCAGCAAGCACAGTGGATGATCCCAAATAATTCTACTGTCAGCTTCCTCGGGATCATTATATTTTAATAGCAAAGCTGGCCAATCTTTGGATACTTAAATTAGGTGACTGGAACTGTAAATGGGTGAGACAAATCTTTATAGAAACCTGAAAAGGGCCCCAGGTTTGTAAAAAAATGTGAAATTTAAAAAATGGGGTTTTAAAAAGCTGAAAATGATAAAAGGAACATCTGTAGCTTTAACAAACAGATTTCCTCAGTGGCTGTTGCTAGGCAACCACAATATTCCAGGTTGGGTTTATGTAAGAAAAAAGGCAGGGGGAGGGGGCAGGGCCCTTTCCAGGTCTGTTTTGGCCTTTGAGGGAGGACTCTTCAGGGCCAGGCCTGACTAGGGTTGCCAACTCCAAGTTGGGAAATTCCTGGAGATTTTGTGGTACAGTCTGAGGAGGGCAGGGTTTAGGCAGGAGAGAGGCCTCAGCCAGATATTATGCCATAGAGTCCACCCTCCAAAGCAGTTATTTTCCCCAGGAGGACAAATTTCTGTATCTAGAGTTCAGATGTAATTCTGGGAGAACTCTAGGTCCCACCTGGAGTTTGGAAACCCTAGGCCTGGAAGCATCTCTGGCGACCTGATGCCACCTGGCTTACATGGCTCTACTAGGCACGACTGCCTGCTACTGTTCAACAGCAGCCATCCTATGAAAGCCAGTGTGGTGTAGCAGCTAGACCTTCAGAGTAGGATCCAAGGGACCCAGATTCAAATTCCCATATTGCTTTGGAAGCTCAGTGGGTGATTTTTGGACCAGGCACTTTCAGCCTAATCTACTTCATAGGGTTAAAAGGAGAATAATATAAAGTGCTTTGGTCCCCACTAGGGAGGAAGGTGGGGTATAAATGAAGTAAATAAATAATAAATACAGCTGAAGATGGGAGTCAGATAAAAGGCAGGTTGGTGAATGGCTGAAAAGGAGAGAATGAGGCAGGGAAAGGGGAGCAGATATGGGAGATGCCTGTGGGAGGGAAAGAGGAAATAGTGTGGGAAGGGGGATACACAGGGAAGTGAAGTACCACCCCACAAATCTTTGAGGGTTCTCTACTAGGCAAGTGGGCCTGGCTCAGTGGCTGGCACCACACCACACAGTTTTCTTGGGGAGGGGGGAGTTTAAGACAGAAGGACAGATAAAGGTAGGTTGGCTGTTGGGTGGGAAGGAGATAGGATTGCCAACTCCACATTAGGAAATTCTTAGAGATTTGGGGGGATGGAGCCTGGGGATGGTGGTGTTTGAGGAGGGAGGGGACATCAGAGGTAGGTTTGCTGCCACTCTCCAAGTTGCACCTGGATTTCCCCACTATTATAATTGATTTCCAGGTCCAGAGATCAGTTCCCCTGGAGACAATGGCAGCTTTGGAAGGGTGGACTGTATGGCATTATATCCTCCTGAGGTCCCTCCTCTCCCCAAATCCCACATTCCCCAGGCTCCACCCCCAGAATCTCTGGGTATATCCCAACCCAGAGCTGGCTATCGTATTCAGAGGGGTATAATGCCATAGTCTCCACCTTCCAAAGCTTCCTCCATGGGAACTAGGGCTGCCAGCCTCCAGAAGGGGGCTAGAGATCACCTAGAATTACAACTGCTGTCCAGATGACAGAGGTCAGTTCCCCTGGGGAAAATGGCTGGTTTTTTCAGGTGGACTGTATGGCATTATACCCTGCTGAGGTCATTTCCCTCCCCAAACCTTACCCTCCCAAGTCTCAACCCCAAAATCTCCAGGAATTTCCCAACCTTGAGCTGGCAACCCTAACCGATCTCTGTAGCTGGGAGATCTGTTGTGATCCCAGGACATCTTCAGACCCTATCTGAAGGTTGACAACCCTAGAAGGAGATAAGGAAGCAAGAAAAGGGGAGAGGCTATGTGGCTTTCAGGAGAGAGAAAGAGGGAATAGTGGAGGAGAGGGAAATGATGCCTCCTAAAAGTCACTGAGGGTTCCCACTTGTATACTTCTAATCTTTTAGTGTCTGTTTCAGAGATGGAAGATTCCATGCTGTCTTCACTAGTCTTAAACCAACAGCAGCCACAACAGTCTTTAAGTTTTTTGGAATGTCAGTTGGTGGGAAAGAAATTATCCTTAGTCATCTTTGTTTTCTGGATGGCAAGGAAACAGTGGGCTCAATGGCTAGCAGTGGCAATGGAGGAGGTGATGGATATGGTTTATGTCCAACGTTGCATCCCAGGCTGATGCTGCCCCTGGCTGTATCCTCTAAAGAGCCTCTGGGCTTGGTTTGGTCCCAGCCAGCAGCATGCAGAAAGAGGCAACATAATCCCATTGTTGCCTCTTGATTCCATCCCACCACTGGTTGGGGCTGAGACAAGCAATGGCACTTGGACTTACATAACACCTTGTATTGGCTCTGGTCGTTGACCTACAACAGGCATGCATGATGGGAAGCCCCTCCATCCCAGCCACTGATGGGATACTCTCCACGACTGGGATAGTCCATGTTTTGAATGGCTTTCAAACGTTTCATCCTTTAGCTACATAGAATGTCTTACTGAACACCTGAGATGTTGGGTAGAATATTTGTATTGGATCTTAACAAGGGCATGGAGAGTAAGGACTATACAATCTTCTGTAACCAAGATTACATCATTTCCCCCAATGTGGATTAGAGCCGGCACTCTCTTATAGTGTTTATTCAGTCTGCAGTGTTGGAGGTCTTCCACTCCTCCAGTACCTCAAGGGCTTAAACAAAGTACTATGAAATTTCATATTTCCAATTTTCATTTGCTATTCTCATGGACTGGTGCCATGAACTGATGTACACTCTGCAGAGAACAGGAATAATCATGTTATCTAGATACAACTCAAAGGCGCACATTCCTGGAAAGGAACTGCATTGGTATGTTGTAGCAAAAAGGCACAGAGCCAAAGATCCCAGTGCACATATCCAATCATTCACACAAA